GCCGCCAGCTAAACAGGGCCTCGCTCGAGTTTTGGGCTTTTCGGGTTTAGGGTCTTGGTGGTTTAGGGTTTTGGGTTTTAGGGTTTGAGGGTTTAGGTTTTAGGGTTTAGGGTTTTGGGTTTTTTTGGGTTATGGGTTTTGGGTGTGGGGTCTAGGGTTTTGGGTTTTGGGTTTTTGGGTTTAGGGTTTTGGCTTTAGGGTTTGGGGTTTAGGGTTTAGGTTTTTTTTGGGTTATGGGTTTTGGGTGTGGGGTCTAGGGTTTTGGGGTTTAGGGTTTTGGCTTTAGGGTTTGGGGTTTAGGGTTTAGGTTTGTTTTGGGTTATGGGTTTTGGGTGTGGGGTCTAGGGTTTTGGGGTTTAGGGTTTTGGCTTTAGGGTTTGGGGTTTAGGGTTTAGGGCTTAAGGTTTTCCGGTTTCCAGGGCTGAGAGATTAATATAGGGGCCTTTATAATTAGACTACGGTGTGGGGGGATAGTATACGATAACTATAGTTGTTTACAGTAAGGGTTTCGGGTTTCCGGGGCTTAGAGTTGAGGCGGAGTTTAGGGACTTAGGGCCTTGTTCGTCCTAGTACCCCGTATGCTCTTGGTCTTCTTATATAAAGCTGAAGAGCAGGAAAGGATACTGTATAATATACTAGAATTAGGGGATTGCTTGGGAACTGAAGCAAGACAGTAGGATCCAGTTGCTGAGCCGTAGAAGAACCCAGGTTGGGTGTGGGAGCTAAGGGGTGTGGGTTTTGGTTTCTGGCTGGTTTAGGCCTCCCCAAACCCCAAACCCTCAAGGCCTTGAGGGTCTGCGGGGGTGTCTTTCGAGGAACTGAGCCTAACTCCCGTCAAGCTCTCTGAAACCTGCAAGCCCCAAAGCCCACATTTCCGAACCCGTCTGCTGCCTCCGTCAACGAAAGGCTTTTCGACGATATCGTGCCACGGCTGCGAACCCTTGCTCCCAAACACTAAACCTTGCAGTCCCAGATACTTATAACTCCTGTCTACGCCGCAAACTTTACTGTAAAACTTGCAATGAAACGCATCAAACCTGAAATCCCGAACGGTGGGAAATGCAGCGCAGCCTCATGAAAGAAGCGACAGGCGCGGTACTTCCGCTATCTCCACCTCAGGGGCTTGTGCGACACCTCGGCGAGCCGCGTCTGGCAGGGAAGCCCAGGATGGAGAGAGAACCTACCAAAAAATAGGGGCCGAAATAAGTACCTACATTATTTTGGGGTTCCTTATTATAATTATAGTATAAATAATTACCTAAATTATTTTGGGGTTCCTTATTATAATTGTAGTATAACGGGCCCCAAAACCCTATTCTAATTATTAAGGCCTCTATATTAGTCCAGGTTTAAGGATCTAGAGTTGAGGCGAGGGCGGCGAGGGTATTCTTTTTTGGTTTTGGTGTTGGGGATGTCTTGTTCAACATTTTGGGGTGTCGAAACCCTACATAAAGCTAAGGCTCGAAACCCCGGAGCCCTCATCCATTTCATGGCTTTGAGCTCCCGTGGTTTCCGAGATCCCAGTGATCTTCAGAAACTCTTCTGTAGTGGCCCTAACAACTAAAATAAGGCTCCTTTTAAAGGGTCCCTTGAAAGGGATACTATAGAGGTTACTAGGGGCCTTAATAATTGGAACAGTGTTTTTTGGGTCCATTATACTATGTTTCTAATAAGGAGCCCACAAAATGGTATAGGTATGTAGGCTTCTATATCAGGCCCAGAAACCTAAAACCACATCGCCCGGACCCTAAACCTCAAACCATACTGCATGCATCCAAAGCCCGGGTTTAGGGTTTACCCCAGGGTTTAGGGTTGAGGGTTTTCCTCAGGGTTTGGGGTTTAGGGTTTAGGGGTTCTAAGGGTTGTTTATAAGAAACCCTACCTCTAGCCGAAAAGACCTACCTTTTCAGGGTTCCTTATTATGTTTTCTTAATGTAGTTCCTTAGAAAGGTAGGTCTTTCCGG